AGAACGCTCATAAAGATAATGTTCAAATAACTTAAAAAGATGAAAAGGACAATTAAACCTTTTTAGTTGAAACAGAACAAAAGGCCACCATACACTACTATTGAATGCACTCTTGACATCCAACGTAACAAGTGCTGTATGCAAATTCAATCTTCTATTTTCTTTTACTTTATCCAATAAATCACAAATAGCTAAAGTTGTACTCTTTCCTTCTATAAATCCATATTGAGATTGATTTAATATTTTATTTTTATTCAAATAAAAGCAGAGTCTATTCGTCATTAATTTGTCTAATATCTTGCCAAGAATTGGTAATAAACAAATCGGTCTATATGATGAGGGATCCGTTTTATCTTTTCCCTCTTTATTAGATAAAACTAAAGAAGCATTTTTCCAAATCTTAGGAAAAATACCATACTTCAGACAAATATTATATATTCTACAAATGAAACAAGAATCAATTCTTATTATTTCTTCTATTACATCTAAACATAGTCCATCATAACCTGGAGCTTTTCCCTTATTCATTGACTCAACCACATTCAAAATTTCTTCTTCTGTAAACTCTAAATCCTTAAAATCATTTTCATAAGTCAGAGAATTTTGTCTTATTTCTTTATGCCAATCCGAATCATCTTCAATCATATCATTCCGAAAAATGAAACTTAACTAAGTAATCCAATGTATCTTTAATTGAATTTGTTTCAGAGCCATCAATCTCTTCTTAACCGACTCAAAGTAAGTGCAGATTTATACTTTCCCACAGTAATTTTATATGGAATACCATAAGGTTGTTCCAAATTAGTTTTCATACATAAATCATTCCACGATTGATTTTTGGCAACATTAATCTCTTTCTTATAAATTCCTCTTAACCTCTTATATTTAACCTCCAAAAACACTTTATGTTCCAAATTAAAGGCACGAAGAAATTTTCTTCTTTCAATCCTTAAATTAGACCTCAAAAGATCCAATTTCTTAGTCCACCAAACTGAGGACCCTTTTACTTTAAAATTCTTTTTAATTTTATTCTTTTCCCAAATACTTACAATATCTTCAGTAAATTCTTCAGCTATTCCTTCCAAATTTTTTTCATCAGTCTTTAATGTACTATATTGCAACAAGAGAGCCGAAGCATCTTTTTTAAAATCAATCCAATTTAAATTATTCAGTGAATACCTCTTTCTCGTCATAGGAAAATAGTCCTTCTCACCAAGATCAATTTCTATATAGTTATGATCACGATAAGAAATATCTGTAATAACTTTCCAATCAATGTTAATGGAAGTATGCGCAAGAGTAAGATCAATCCAAAAAGAACCTTTTACTCCTTCAAAAGTAGGAGGAAAATCTGTATTATTCAATATACAAATCCCGTGAGAATTAATAAATTCCAGAACTTGTTTTCCTCTAGAATCTTCCTCTTGATCACCTCACACTTCACTTTTAGCATTAAAGTCTATTACAAAATCATTACAAAAGTCTTTATTCAAAACTCTTGAAATATCATTCAAGCACAAAGTCAAGTCTGCTTTAGGCGGACAATAAGCAGAAATCAACAAGAAATCTTGATCTTCGAAGTTTATTTTCAAAACAACCAGTGTATTAGAAATTAAAATTTCAATCACAGAAATTGTTTTGTCAAATATAACGATTCCTGCTAACGGAATAACATTATCAGTAAAATAAAGTCTAAATTGAGATGAAAAATCCTTAACTTTATTTTCAATATGATAGGACTCTTGTACCAAAGCAAATGAATAATTTTGTTCTAATGTTCTTTGTTGGAGTTGTGACATTGCATCACGAGCATGGTGAAGATTTATTTGAACTCCTCTAATTTTTGTTGAGGAACTAAAAACCATAATTTATCCTTCTGACTAGTAGATCAAATTGTCTCTTCAAACATGAACAATCTTTATCCAAGCTAGAATGCCGCACGTCTAAGCCCATTTTATATTTACTATTCGCATTAGTACAGTTTATATACACTGGGATGTTTTTACAGTCCCAGTGATTATGTCCTTTCTGTGCACAGTTAGCACATATTAGATCTTTAGTACATCTTTTGTGGAAATGCCCAAATTCCTGACATTTGTAGCATCTTACTACATTCAAATATTCTTTAATATTTATGCGAAACCAATTAAATCTCTATAACTATAAATATCTTTCCTTGATTAAATAAATAAATTCCTTCATTAAATTGACTAAATATATATCTTTCCTTGATTAATTACATGTTTAAATTTCTGAGGTTGAATTTCAACCACCCAATGAACCTTATTATTCTTTCCTTTTATTTGAAATAATGGATTAAAACCACCCTCTTAAAATATAGAATTCATATAGCAGCTTCAGATAACAGCTTCTTGTAATTCCTCTTTTCCAACTTCCACATCAATATTATATAGTATAATTTTCGGATTTTTCTTAATCGGAGCCCTGACTTCAATATCCTCTTTTAACAAAACATTTGTTTTGATTTCCTCTTCTAGTTTACCAATTTCATCATGATTTAAATATTCAATGACAATTCCATCATTATTTATTTTTCTGACATTTCTAATTCCTATTTTCAATTTTACAGGATCAATAGCTTCAACTACTTTCATCTTTACTTCCTCTGAAGACACTTCTCTCACTTTAGGGTAAATTAGAGCAAAATGTTCATCTCTCCTCTTAACTTTATCTTTCTTTGATATAACTTTTTTCTCCATTTTTTGTTCTCTAATAATATCCGCAAATGCCTTTTCAACAATATGTGGTTTTTGAACCATATCTAATCTTCCTTTTAAATTTTCTATTTCTAACGCTTGAGAAACTATAAAATTAAATAGCCTCTTTAAAAACTTTTTTTTTTAGAGGAACTGTTACTCTAGTTGCCTCTTCCAAACAAGTTTCAATATCATTAATAAGTGACCTAGCTTCCTCTATCAGTTCATTCTGAGGAACAGCCACTGTCTGAACGTCTTTATCCATTTTTGATCTGATTCAATCGGGACCCTGGGGTTTCCCCGATTGAATTTTTCGGAGTTTGGATTTCGACCTCCCCTCTTAGGAGGAGGGGCCCTCAGACCACGACAAGGTACCAAACTCCTGGGAAGTTTTTTCTATTGGCTTTTTCAAATAAATTTTATCAAAGATAATTTGCCTTTTCTAATTTTCGCACTCAATCACAAATTAATAAGCCAATTTGCTTTTCAATTTGCTTGCAATAATAAATAGATCTTTATTTATTTTATTTTATTTATTTTTTTGTTGTTGTTGTTGTTGTTGTTGTTGCATTTATTTAGGTAAATCCATGCTTTATCAGGGTTCAAAATGTATTTCCATTTATCCCCCCTCCTAAAAAGTTTTCATACATGGTTCTACAAACTGTTCGTCATTGAACCACGTGCCTCGGTAAAATCTGGTGAACACTGTGTTTATAGCTTCTTTAAGTTATAAATCTCGGTTTATTATTTTATTTATTGTTGCTATATATGTATTTAAAGACTTATGTATTTAAAGACTTTGCTATATATGTATTTAAAGAAACTGATTTCTATATCGACATATTTTCTCTTGTTACTAATGATTTAAGTACAAAGAAACAGTTTCCGGGTATTGGTTGGAGTTTTTTTCTCATGTAAATGTAATGATTGATGGTTGCTCCCTTCCCGATTAATAATGTTGCCTATTTACACTTAGAAATTTTAATACCATACCTATCACGCTGTTTCTGAATTATGGAATAGGAATATTTCTCTTCGGAAAGCGCAAAAATATATCCTTCAATCTACAGCTTGTTTATATTAATCTACAGCTTGTTTATATTAATTTACAGCTTGTTTATATTAATCTACAGCTTGTTTATATTAATCTACAGCTTGTTTATATTAATCTACAGCTTGTTTATATGCGGCATCTTGAAACAGAATAAATTTAAAAGTAGCAGACAATATTTCTTAATTCAAATAATAAGCTGTTGCCAAAAGTTTTTATTTCCAAAACATTTGTGTTTTTATTAATTCTGCATGGAAATCATTCTAAAAATGCATAAACGGCCTGTGTGTTTTAAACTAGCTCAGAAATGGTGAGAAAATAAAATTAATATTTTACATATTTGTGTGTCTGTTATTTCCCCAGTCAGTTTACTTTACGGGTGGTAACTCGCCACAACACTTAAAGTAATATTTGAGGGTAGATGACAGGTGAAGGTACTCAATTAACTAGAAAGACCGTTCAAATTATTATGACATCATAATCTATAGAAAGTCAATAACAATGAAAATGACGCAAGTCTTTTGCAAGAAATAAGTAACTAACAAAGCGTTACTGCCTATTTGAGAGACATTTGTAAGACTATAGTAAGGAAAAAGGGCTTCTTTTAGTGTATTCATGTTGACAGAAATATTTAAAAAGAAGCAGCAATCATAGTAAAGTAAACGCAAAAACAAAATTCTGCTCGATATCAAAATAAAAGTTCTGAATTGCTTACAAACCGCCTTCAAAACGCAAATTCCCGTCAAAGCTTAGTTTTTAGAAAACTGAACATTAAATTAATTCAAGAATCATTAATCACAAACTTTGAGTATTTTGGAAATTTGAAAGCAAAACTGGTTGAATTTAGGATATCCCTATCAAAAATACAGATGGAATTTTTTTAATGCCGGGGAGGGGGGGGGAGGCGTTGTCGGAAAAAAAAATAGCCGGAGAACATGGCTATCAAAAGGCAATACACCTCATTTAATTAATCTACTTAAGCTTTCTATCATAGCATTTAAGAATAGGAATAATGTCAAGCCATTTCCATATATTTAGGAAAAACGTGTTGTTCCAAACAATAGTAAAACAAATCTCTTCTTAAGAAAACCGTTTTCGTATAAATTAAATAAATCCTTTCTGTGGCAAATAAAAAGATTTATCACATAGATAGGTAAAACATTAGCAGGTGACTTTGTTAATGGAAAATGAATGGATTGTTTGCTCTAAAACTAAAATAAAACATATAATTCTAAAAGCAGAGGTTTATTCGATAATCAGGTATTTCGGTAATGAAATATTTCATAGAATTATATATTTTTAATGTACAAAAATTAGTAATATCTTACCAAAATACATACGAATACAATTATATTTAAATATACAACATCAGCTACACAAAATTCATTATTAATATTATTGCTCAATGTTCTATTACTTAACGGCATCTCTCTTCAATGGATAGAGCATTCTTGCTTTACTTGTCATAATAGCATCTCTGGCTCCGTCCCATTTATGTGGTCCTTGAAGCCGATATTGATAAGAAACAAATGGACCGAACCAAAGTTTCCAAAACAGTCGGATATCAGTTAAAAAAAACTTGAGCAAATTGGGTTTTGCACCAAATTTTGACGCAATGTCGTCCATATATTGCATATTATCAACTCTTATTGTCATTTTATCACTCGGGGCATATCTCTTCATATTTTCACGATGTCTTTTTTCAACACTTTTCAGCATTTTTTTCGCGGGTGGCAAATGTCCTTTGCCTGCAAAAATATGAGCCGCCCAACGACACTGTATTTCACCAACTGGAAACCCAGGTCCAAAAGGTAGAAGAAAACCTATTATTGCAAGGGTTGGGTGTTTCAGATGTGGAGGATACATTGCTTTATACAAGTTGATTCTTCCATCCTTTTCTTGCTTTACTATTCCATCCTCCAAGAATGGAAACTTCCATGTGTAACCAGTGGCCATAATGACTGTGTCGATTTCTATTTCTTTGTCGCTCCCTTCGAAGAGAACACAGCGTTCTGTAAATCGTTCAACAATTCTTTTCTGAATTACTGCTCCAGAAAGCAACTTGGAGCCAAGGTGGTCATTAATGACAGGATCCTTGCTGAGGATGTGATATTTTGCAGGCACATTGTAAAATTTCTGGTCGAACTTGGAATCGATGTAGAATTTCTCAAGAAATGAACTTACCAAGTCTGCAGGAAAAATATCGATACATTTAAGCATAAATGGTCTCATAAGAATGTAATCTATTGGGTAACCTTGTGGTCCAACTCTGTTTATAACATGAGCTCCAGTTCTTGTACTCAAGTACACCTTTTAAATAAATAAAATAGAATATTTTATTATAGCAATAAAAACAACTTACGAAAAGCAAATAAATAGTGTTCATACATTGAGCGTAAGAAACATCTAATCTTTTTCATATATGAATAGATGCAATGACTTCTGTATGGCAATGCTATAATGATGTTCTACTACATACTAAAAAGACCAATCCATATGCTCTTTTCCGATCCGTCTAAGTACATGAACACAATGAAAATCGGGACGTGCGAGCCGCTAGTTGTCGTGAGTGCTACGCAACACAAATATCAGAGCTTTGATGCTAAGATGATTATCATGGGCAATAGCAACTATTAAGTTTGATCGCTGATAAACTGCTGGCGCTCCCAAAAGCTCATACTCGATATTATTAATCTTTGAACTGCTAAACATCTCGAGCAGTAATGTGGCCTTAATTTACCAACAGCACCCAAAACTAGGAAAAATCGGTGTGAATCATATAAAATATGGTTGTAAATGAGTGAGTGATACCCGTGGTGCTCGGAGACACAGTCGTTTCGTATCTATGGCAATAATCGCAGTGTTACATCAGATCTGAATAGAATTTAATGTAGCTGCTTCGTTCAGCGTCTGCACAAGGACTATTTTGTCGGCAACTGGAGTAACTCGATTACTGTAGCTTTCTCGAGTTCCACTGCTAATAGGAAGTAATTGATTACTGTAGCTGTGTGGCTGTAGAATACAAATCGCCCCGTTGTTGGACGAGTATAAAAATCGAAACGTGCAATCTGGTTCAATGAGTCAATTTTCTAGCTGCTGCGTCCATACGGATGGATAAAGCGACTTAAGTGATTTCGACATCTGAATACCAATACTTCAGTGAGCAAAGCAGTGAAGTTTGAATACTCACCTAGCCTTCAAAATTCCCAGATACGAATCCTCTTTAGCATCTGTGGGACAAGCCCCAACGACCTCTTCGCTGTCTAAGCTCACCATACTCTGCAGGAAATGTGGGATTATTCCACCGCCAGTACCATCATCTCGCTTTTAGAATTTCATCGTATCTCTTCCCGGGCATATTGTTGCTGCTATGCGACCAAAGCTGGAGCGATGAGGTACTGAAGGGTGAGTGTAATAATTTGTATTATAAGTGGAATAAAGTTGGGAATAAAATTGAGATGAAAGTTTTGTTCTAAGCAAAATAGCCTTGCCGCGGAAGAACTACTGATGGCAATAAGCATAATTACTGATAATTCGTTAAGAAGTATATCAGCCCCCTCTCTGCAATGCCATGTATTAAGGATTTCAAAATAATTAATATCAGTATATAAATTTAACTACTTTCACGTATGATTTTCAATTTATATTTTAGTTTTACTTTTCTCTGTTGTGGAATGGCAACACTGGTTATTGATTCTTAATGTAGATAGAATGTAGGGCTATATACTGGGTGTTCTTTACTACCAGTGCTAATTAAGCGACATCCAACTGACTAAATTGTTGTTAATTTTTAATATATCGTATTCATGTGGAGAACTTGTAGTTCATTTGAGTGATTTAAAAGGCGTACGTAACTTTTTGTTTTATTTCTGTTATTTACATTTTGCTGGCGACGAGTGACAAGACTTTACTTGTGATTCGAAGCAATGTTTCAAGCAGCAAAGATTTAAGAAAGAATTGTATGTAGCCGAAGAAACTGGTGTGACATTACCTCAAAATATTCCAATAGCGGAACTGAAAGAAATTATTTTGCAGAGTAAGCAGTATTTCGAAGATCCGAAGTTCATTAGAGATTTTTTTGGTAACGACTGTTACTGAACGAAGACAAAAAGAAGAAGAGAGTCCAAAAACACAGAATATGAATAACAGAAAAAAGGTAAGGCAATACAAGCTGGAAATGGTGCGAATTCGTGCATGTCGCCAATGGCAAGTGAGACTCAAACCTCTGTTACTCTCACAGGTTCTAAAACGAAAATTAATCGACAGAAACCAGAGTTGAAGAGGTTTAGTGCTGAATGATGAAGTCAACTTAAACAGATTCATAATTATGAAGATATTGCACCTTAAACTAAATTTCAGTACCCTTGTTCAAGCTACTTTAAGTTGATCTAGAGCATAAAGTTGTAGTTGCAAGTTATACAGCACGTTTTAGAAAGATTCCAGCCAACAGGAGCCAGCTACGCTAAAATAACTAATAGTCTAAAAACAAGGTTTTGAAGAGATGAACCTTTGATGATAAGGACTTGTAAAATTGATAGCTTTGGACCAGAAACATGAAAAAATTTCTATGACATCTCTGTATCACAATCTCCAATGCTATCTTAGAGCATTAGAGACACTGGAAGTGACTGCTGATAAATGCACTTCGATACTTTATCCTATAGTTGAATCTTGTAGTCCAGAAGAGTTCCTGAAAGCATGGAACAGAAATGCTTCTTCCACAACCTAACTGATGTTAAGGAAGAGTTGATTAATTTGATGTCTTTCTTTAAGACCAAAATTGAAAGGAAGAAAGAATAAATCTTACCCTGGCTGGTTTTAGTTTGTATTCAAGTGAAATTTGCAAATCTTTAAGGAAAAACAGAAACGTATTTGACCACAGGAACAGTGCCTACAGCTACCAATTTACTCGCTATAGCTTCAAAGGATGTGAAGGAAAAAACATGTGTTTTTGTTTTCGAAAATACACTAGCTCAGGCTGTTTTCCCGTTGAAAAGATGAGTTTAGCTGAAACACAGAATGTTTTAAGAGATAAATAGTGCTGCTTTGCGAGATAGTAGGGAAGTCCTTGCTAACAGCCCTTAGAGCAATTCCTGAATTCAGGGTCTAAAAACGTATATTTTAAAACTCTCGTGGAAGAGATAGAATATAGTCCAGTGAGAAAAGAACCTCTTATACATTCTTTATTTAGAGGGCTTAATTCTGAAAAGTATGAACACACATGTTATGGAATCAAATTAAGAAACCCAGAAAATAATATAACTCGTAACAAGCGTGAAAGCGTTGGACCAATACTCTATATGTGATAAAATTACATCTGTTAGTTCGGGTCAATAGGTCAAACAGCTTCAAAAAATTAAGATAGCATTGGCAGATGTGGAAGATTAATCACAAGCTTCTCGGAGCTGACGTAATAGGAAATCTTATGATAGGTCAGCTTAAAATACTGACCTTTGAACTTATAGCCATCGAAACTTTACTTGGTTGAACCTTGTCGGAAAAAGTACCTGATAGAGAGACATTTTTAACCAATGTTATGCTGGTAACTTCCCTTTTGGTAAAAGAAATTTATATTTCTGAAATGGTGGAGACTGAATCCTATATGGATACAATATACTTCAGAACAGAAAACTAAAGAACTTTATGAGACCTCAAAAGAACATTTTTTAAGAACTGTCAAAGTTGAGGAGATGAACGTTTGCACAATAGCCTACAATGATTTGACGTTCATTTACCATTGCCAGACAATTTTAATTTGGCACAAGTGACCGCTCGTAAGCTCAAACTTCAGAAATTGTATAGAGAAGTCTTCAAAGAATGGGAACAAGATGGAATCATCGAAGAGGTTCCTAAAGAAGATTTGAAGGCATCTTGTCACTATTTGCCCCATCGACATAGAGTGAATCAGAACAGTACGACTAAGATTAGATCTGAGTTTAATGCTTCTTCTGAAAAAAAAGGGGACTCCCAGTTGCAATGATTCTGTGGGAAAAGCAATTGAATTTGATAGAATTCATTCCTTCCGTAATAACGAGGCTTCGTTTGTATAAATTTGGTATAACAGCTGATATATGCAAAGCTTTCCTGGAAATAAGTCTCTTTAAAGAAGACAGAGATTTCCTCCCATTTCTACGGTACGGGGAGTTCAAATATTATCGTCATCGCAAAGTTGCCTTTGTTATTTCATGCTGTCCGTTCTTGCTTAGGTCAACCACACGATATCATTTAGAAAGGAAACTAGATGAAGCAATGCAAGGAAATGAAAAATATCCTGAAGATATCATACGATAACTGCTTTACGAGAGTCAAAATTGAATAAAAGTTGAAACAATTTATTGAAGTTACCACTGAAATTATGACTGAAAACAAATTTGATTTATGACGGAGAGCACACTAACCCATCTGAATTTATCGTAGTAAATCCAACAATCATTCTAGAAATGATGTTGCCTAGACATTGTGTGATACTCTTTCTATAAATATTGCTGATTTGAAAGAAGTAACGAACGTTGTAATCACAAAAAGAAATATTTTAGCTGTTTCCCACAAAATTTTTCATCTTCGAAGGATAACTGGTGTGATGATATTGCTTCCGAAACTCTGGCTACAAAATTTATAGAAATCTAAAATCAGTTGGGAAGAAGACACTGATATAAAAACACTTTATTATTTTCTAAAATTGTTAAATGAACTTGAATATTTGCAACACGTGAAGTTTCCAAGATTTTTCCACTGTGATGAAGGACTCGATCACATTTCGTAACGTTTTTTCAGTGATGCCAACAAACTTGCGTATTCGAACGCAGTCTTTTTGCAAGTTGGTAATGGAAGCACTATTCGTTTACAATTAGCACAGAATAAAACTATAATCGCCTCTTGTGGTAGAAAGGACACTACGACTGATAGGTTGAAACCTTTTGTTGCTACTATTTCTGTTCGTCTTCACTAAAAGGTCTTGAAAGAGTTTCAAGATTATTTATTTTAGAGTTTATTTCTATACCAACTCTACCACAATATTGATCTCTTGGGATACAATACAAGATCTCTTGGGGCGTATTTTTTCAGAACCGTGTTACAGAAATAAGGAATCTGACATCTGTCCAAGCATGGAGACAAGTGCCTGGATCTTTGAACCCTGTAGACCTGCCAAATATGGGTTGTTCAGAGCAGCAGTTATACAAATCAAAACGTGGGAGGATACCAGCTGGTTGTATACAAATCAAAATGTGGGAGGATCTCAGCTTGATTATACCTTCCACTTCTTGAATGGCCAGTTGGCGATATAGAACTAACTATACGTCAATAAAGAA